GCCAGCCCCCAGGCCCTAGCCTGTCTCTCTCTCTCTCTCATCCCCTGCACCAGGCGCAGCCGAGTTGTCCACATCACTCCACAGCTGGTGGCATCAGAGGGTGACCTCCTCAGCACACACCAGGAGCCCTGCTCCACTCCCTGGCCCCATCTGACCACAGCCATCAGCTTGGTCTCTTGCCTGCCCATCACACATCAGAGCAAAGCCCGAGAACAGAAGAAGAGGCGTGCGCTAGGAAGGGCACGGAGTGGCGGTCAGCTGGGCTGGGTTCGTAGCCTGACTCTGCCACTTGCTTACCAGCTTTGTCATTCTGAGCCATCTCTGAGCCCCCTCTAAACCTGTTTCTTTCTCTGTACAATGAAGACCAGGACAGCCCTTCTCTCACTGGGTGTGTGTGCATGAGAAAATACACATATGTGCTTGGCGTAGCCTTGGCATTTAGCAAGTCGGCCAAATGCCACCTGTCACCCATAATGACGAGCACCAGCTCTGGAGTTAGAAGCGATGTGACCTCTCACAGCCTCTGTTTCCTTATTTATCACTCAGATCTGATGCCACCTACTTCATGGGTATATTGGGAAGATTAGACGTGACAATGCCTAGCACATAGTAGGTGTGCAAGACATGTCCCTCCTCCATGGCAGTCAGGCTCTGTGCTTCTATCTTTGTGTCCCTTACAACAGCAGTTCTCAAAGTACAGGCTGGGGACCCTGGGGATCCCCGATACCTTTTGGGAGGCTGTGTGAAGTCAAAACGACTTTTCTTTAAATACGAAGCTGTTGTCTTTTTCCCCTCTCATTTTCTCTCAAGTGCACAGTGGAGTTTTCCAGAGGTACCTGCGTGATACCCCACCAAAGTGGACAACCCAGCTGTCTTCTGTTCAGCCAGGCACGACAGGGGCTTTTTAAAAATGCAAAACGGTGTTACTCTTCTCATCCAATTTTTGTTTTAGAAAATGTCATTTTTCGTTAAAATGCTATTTACATTAACATGTAATGAGTATACTATTTCTATGCAAGTGAAGTGATAAACATTTTTTAAATGTTCTGTTTTAATTTATAATATGGTTAATATGGAATGATAGAGCCCATATGAACAAAAGCTCTTCGGGGTCTTCAGCAATTTTTAAGAGTGCAAAGGAGTCCTGAGACCAAACAGTTTGAGGCCGCCCACAGTTCTCCCTGTGCTGGCAGAATAGGGGTCCCAGCACACACGTGCTCACATCAGCCCGCCGAGCCACTCTCCCAGCTGCACCGTAAGTTCAATGGGGAACTGGAGCCATGTCATGTATTTTAGATCTCCCAGGGCACCCTGCGCTGTGCTAGGCATGCCTCAATAGGCACCACCCTAAACCTTCTGAATTGCAAGGAATTCTCTCAGGACCACTGGGCCTGGGGACAGGTGAGCTGCACATGTGCCTTCTGATGGGCATCCAGAGATCTTACCTGGCAGCCTTTGCTCCCCCTCCCTCTGAAAAAAACCTTGCCCCTTCAGGACTAATCACTGCCCCGTTCTCAGTCTCCGTGGTTCAGAATGTGGCCCAGATCCAAAGAAGAGTGGCTGGTTCCAAGTGAGTCATATGACCCAAGCGGTGTCTGTCAGAGCCAATGAGCCTTTGTCCCAAGTTTCTGTTGAAAACACTGAGAAAAAAGACCACTCTTTCTCCTGGGGCTGCCACACTTCAGGCTGAAAGCCTGGGGCCCCTGGTGGTGCCATCGCTGACACAGACCTTGCCTGAAGATAAGCCAACGCAAAACCAAGTAATGGGGACAAATTCCTGCATCTACCATTTGAGCCCCTGGGTCCAGCGGTGCCTGGACTTCTTGGTCATGTGTGCCTTATTAATAAAATGCCAGTAAGCTCCTTTTTTCCCCAATTTGAGCTGAGTTTACCTTCTAGCGGAAAGAGTCCAGGTGAAAACTCACAGTAATCAGAACGAAGACCTGGAAAGGGGAGGGGGAAGCCGCTGGGAGGATCTGGGGTGAGCCAAACAGCAGAGACACCCCTGAAGCCACACATCCGGAGCCTATGTGAGGTCGCTCTTTGCCAGAGACCTGGCATAACCCTTTCCAAACAGCACAGCTAGATAACGCATAGTTTTTTCTTTCACTTTATCATTTATAAAGCCATACAATGGATCGCCAAGAAACCAAGCAGCTGTACAGGAGTGGGACAGCGTCAGTGTACAATACATTCATATCCAGGGTAAGTAGCATACATCAGGGTTTATACAAGGTGGCAGAGGTTATAGGCACGATGATACAAAATAGAAAGTATATTTCCATCTATATAAATACACAGCCAAGGAATGGGGCGAACGCTGGGTTATTCTGTTTCCCCCCACCCTGCAGAGGGCCTGGGAGACAGGGGCGGGAGTGGGGCATGGTTCAGGAATCTCTTACATTTGTTTTGAATGACATATCAGAGAGAGGAGAGACATGGGGAAACACAGCATGCACACACCGATGCGTTCCTCACACGCACACACAAACCAAACATGGACACAGGAGAGTCTCAAACAGTTTTAACACTGATTAATAAACAAACTTGGGACATCCCTCTAGAATTACCCCCTGCTGAGAAGAGACCAGTGTGGGGAATAAACAGAGGTCCTCCAACATTTCGGGCATCTGAGGACAGAGGAGCCCCACCACTTGTGGTTAATCCTTCCATCCCTTGCAGTGAGATGCCACCAGTTGTGCCCTATAGACCTCGCCTCCTGATTCCTTTCACTGCTGGGTGATATTGAAGTTGACGTCCTATTGCCCACCTACTCCAACCCAACCCCTAAGTTCCCCAGGGAGACGAGCACAATACGCACACACAAACACCCACACTTGCACGTGCGCACACACGTCCTGTTACCACTGGCCAGGGGACTCCAGGGCCTGGACCTGGCTGAAGATTGCCTCCAGGGCTCTGCCTCTGCCCTCTCCAAGGATCCCGACTGTGGGAGAATGTAGCGGGCGGAAGCAGCCTTGGGATAGGGCATTGGCCCACTTGATCTCCCCAGGTCCTGAAGCTGGGAAAAACCAAAGAAGGGGACGAAGGCCCAGGAGGCAGGGTGGTGGTGAGGGTCGCAGCATAGGCATGATCTGCCCGCAGACTCCTCCACACCCCTCGTAGAGCATGAGGAGTCTGCCCAGTCTCTGCTCAGGCCCATCACAGTGGGACAGAAGAAAGCCTGACTCATCCCCCTCCTGGGAGCCCCTTTTTGGAAAAGTCACACTTGTCCAGTCGACTGGCTGAATGGTCACACAGCCGCCAGTCTCTGACACACCCAGGGAACCCTGGCAGTCCACAAGCCTTTGGAGCTGATGCGGGAGAGGCTCCAATGAGGACCAGGGTGAAAAGGCCTTTCCCAACCTAGGACACGACACGTCTGTCCTTCAAACACCTGGCTGGACAAGGGAGCCAGAACACCATGATTCCAGAATTCCAGTCACCCTGGAGGTTGAACGAACAGCTCACTTCCTCCGTTTCCCCTCTAGGGTGGCCTCTCCATTGTTCCCACGCCCAGTCCTCCTCTTGTCCCGCCTGGGAACAGCCACATGGACCTCAACGAGCCTCTCCCCCTGATGAATCAGAGGGCCTGCCTGAGAGACCGGGCTGGACAGCAGGGGCAGGCTGAGGCGGGGCTGGGGCCTGAGCTGCCTGGGGCTGCATCGCTGTGTCATAAGCTGACCACGGCCCTCCTGCTCTTTCTTGCCAACTTCTCCCAGACCCTTTCGTACCCCCACTCCCCAGCCTATTTGCAAGACCAGACAGCACTCTCCCGGCTAACAAACAGATTCAACAATAAACAGCAAAAATGTTGAGGGAGGGGGAGGAGAGGAAAGGATAAACATTTACACATTAATAACAATAATCATTAAAAGTGCTTTCTTTTCAAAGAAATCTTTGGCAAGAATATACTGCAGTGCTGTGTGTGTGTGGGTGTGTGTGTGTGGGTGTGGGTGTGGGTGTGGGTGTGAGCACGCACGCATGCACGCGGGTGCACGGGCATAACCTGTGAGACACAGGAGGGCTAGTGTCTACCCAACCAGTATGACTTGAAGTGTGGAGACTGGGGTGACCTTCCCCATCATTCTGGAAAGGTCGAGCTCTAGGAAACGACTCCTTTCAGAGTGACGCCAGCGAGTGAGTTGATCAGCTTCCCAGCGCCCCCTAGGTCCTACTCACGGGGTCACACAGCTCAGGCCTGAGTGGGGTGGGCTGGCCATGCCTGGGAGGTGGGCTGTGGTGGGCGGTGGGAAAGCATGTGAGAAGGCTGGCCCTGGGCCCGGGTCTGCCAAACGGTCTGACGCTCTACCTGGCCTCAAGTGTGGAGAGGACGTCCAGACCAGGAGGGCGTCCCTGGGCTGTCCAGTGGGAGATTAAGATATTTACAAAGAGAGGGGGTGGAACATCTCCTATCTGGGAAGAGTTGGGGTAAGTGGGGAACGAGGAGAGGGACATCCAGGTATCTGGCTTGAATACCTCAGAAGGAAGAGCACTTTGGAGGAAACTTGGTCACCAAGCACAAGGTCTCAATCTTTGGGAAGCAGGGTGCTGCTCCCCGCTTCTTTAGACATTCTCCTTTCCAACTCCCTGAAACAGCATGTCCACACAGATACAGCTTCTTGGAGGAGAAAAAAATACAAAAGACGTACACACTACCCACGTCTGCCACACTCACTCATGTCCCCCACGGGCTCACTGGAGCCGCGGTGAGTGGGCAGCTCCCTTCTCATCTTGGGAGCTGATGGCTGAGCCCTGGGCTTGCCAGAAAATAAGGGGACCGAAGGGAATGGAACATGTGCACCCCTCCCGCTAAGCCCCAGGAGGAGTCTAGGGAAGGCCAAGGCCAGGACAAGGAGACCCCTGATAGCTCCAAGATTAAAGGCCCCTGTAGCTCAGGCTTCACTTATACATATCAAAAGGGATAGGAATTGGTTTATGCCCAGGGAGGCAATAAAGCAATATGGGAAAACAATAAATACTTCTTGTCAATTTACCTATTCGTTTTTTTAACCTTTTCTTATATTTTATTAGCTTACAGATTCTGTCAGTATGTCTCACATATATATTATATATATTTATATATCAGTACAACACCTCTCTCTAGGGGACCCCCAGAGGCGTAAGAAGCCCCTCAGGAATGGAGTCCTAGTGAATTTTCCATTCCAGCTTAGAGTCCTTGGATGGAGGTCAGGGTTTCCCAATTGCCCACATGGACTCGCAGCCCTTTGGCCTAAATGTGTGCCTTCTGCCCTCTGCTCACAGGCAGCTTGGCTCTGCTGGGAAAACCAAGGCAGAAGGGGGAACAGCAAGGCTTTGGTATTGTAGGTAGGCCATGTGGTATACAGGTAGCAGCCCCCAGAGCTTCGCTAAGTCACCCTGGACAGCCCAGCAAAAGTCAGACCCCAAAACACTTGCGGATGGAGGCACAAGAACTACAGGCATCTCCCCTGGGCCTCGCTGAGCAGGGCCTTTAGAAGCAGGTGCCCCAGGATGAGCCCAACATGGGGGCCCTGCAGGACAGAATGGGGCAGGGCAGGGCAGAGCAGGAAGGCTCAATCCCCAGCACCCAAAAAGACCTCATGCAGATAAGCAAGTCTGAGATATAAGGCTGGTCTTGGCGCAAAACCCAAGAATGGGCTGAGGGTTGGGAGCTGGCAGGAGCGACCTGCCCACTTGGATGCTGGGCCACACACTGGCCACACACCTTGGGGAAGATGCCTGGAGCTCACCAGCCACCACTGCTGACAGATCTTTTCCCCAAGGTGATGGACACCCATGTCTCCATCTCCTCACACCAATGTTCCCGCCTCCTAATGGAGGCAGAACAGGGGTGGTGCTGCAGGGTGGCCAGCCTCACGCCCGCTGGGGTGTTTGTTGAGAAGGAGCTGGAGGCACCCAGGGCTGCTGGAGTGCAGGTGCAGGGGCCAAGGCAGTCAATTACCCATATTCCTGGGTGCTCCTGGGGAAGAGGGCTGGTGTCCCCTTCCTGCTGCTGTGTCACTCCAACTCTAACCTTCTTTGGACAACATGCACGTGTGTGCAAATACAGGGGACACAGACAAGTACACCTGTTTATAATTCTAGCTGAGAGGCAAAGACAGATCAGTGTGTGAGGATGTGGGTGTGGACAGATACACACCCCACGTGTACACCCACACCAACTACACGTCAGGGGCAGAGGGGAGAGACCTCAGGTGCCTCGGGTCTGAGATACTTTCAAAAGCAAAAGTTCTGCCACTTGATGTCCCATGCTGGCTCTTTTTGGTTTGGCAATTTACCCTAGAGATGGCCGGAAAAAGATTCTCGCAACTTGATTTCTCACTGCAAAGCAGCTGGGGTAGGGAGACAGAGCTTTCCCATGACGCCCACCCCCCGCCAAAATATGGATCCTCAAGGAGGTCAGTTCTGCCTCCGTTGAGGAGCTCCATCCTCTGGGGGGAGCGGGGGCCGGGTGAGGGGGAGTTAGGTGGACCTGGTTGGTTTTGGAGGCTTTTGGGGTTGCACAGTACCCATCTACCGAAAGGAATCCCAAGTTCTCCTCCTCCATCTTTTTCTTTCTTTCTCTCCCTCTCTCCCCCTCCCCTCTGCAATTCACTTCCCTCTCCCCATGTTGCACTTTCTTCTCTCCTTCTCCAAAATTGGCCCAAAGTCCTCCTTCCGGATTCAAAGGTAGTCAGGATTCATGGGTCCCCTTCTCCACAAGCCCCATCCCCGTTGCCTTGGCCCTGGGCAAGGGGTGGGTTCATCTCTTCTGGCCAGCACTCATCATGACTTTGGAGACAAAGTTGACAATGGCAGAGGCAGGCTGGTTGGGGTCAAGCTCAGCGAAGAGGTGGCAGGCGTTGTCCGTGGTGCTGCCCTGCTTCCGGGCCACAAAGCCGAAGAGCCTACAGGGGCAGGAGACGGGGGAGAGGTGTGAGAGGGGGGCAGGGGGGGCCCCAGGCCTTGGAGAGCCGTCCAGGTGAGCAAGCTTATCTTCAGGCCAACCTGTCTCCTCTGTCTCTCCACACCTCCCTAAGCATGGGGATTGGGGGTGGGCTATAAGAGAGAATCCTCTGTCTCTTCCACTGACAAGAAAGTCAAGTCCTGGAGATGACGGTGTCACTTGTTTCAGGGTAAAATTCCCTGGGGGGGGGCGGGGGTGTCAAGAGGCGGGAGGAAGAGCTGCAGGCAAATGACAAGACTGGACAGTAAGAGATGGGAATGAGACCAAAAATAAAATGGGGACATTCCTAGGCGAGCTTCTCTCAGTCTTTCTCAGCCCCACCCCTACCCAACTGTTCTTACACACGACACATAAGCAAATGAATAAAATTCTGTCTCCCCATCAAAGGGCTCAACCACCTCAGACACCGGGAGAAGGTCAGGGAGACAGAAGGACAAGGGGTCACCACCCCCCACCACTACATACACACATTTATCTGAGGCTCCAGAGAATGGGAAGGGGAGGGGGACCCCACACCTGTTCCTCCAATCCCCACTCCCTGCACCAAGACTGGAGTGAGCTGGCATTCACTCTGTGCAAAACAGAGTTAAAAATATGAGAGGAGAGAACAGAATGTGAGCTCAGGTCCCCTCCCAGCCAGCGCGTTGCTAATTAGAGCGAGATGGGGAAATCAGGACAGCTGGAGATTCCAATGGAAACCCCTCTCCCTAGGACTGGACCACAACAGCTAAAATTAGCAAAGTTGGGTCCCGCTTGCAACCGTGCACACGCATGTGTGTACACACACACACACACACTGGGCTTCCTACAGCTATTTCAGGGTCTTGGGACAATTGAGCCAGAGGTCTGGGGTAATGGTCTGCCCAACTAGTGGGGACGCCTGAGTCCATGGACCAACCCCAGAACCCCCTTTCCAGGCTTGCAGGGCTCCTTGGAGTGGTGGAGTGGTGGAGCTAAGGACACAGTGAGGGAGTGGCTCCGAGCTGCCGGCATGATGGCGTGCCAACCCTGGCTGCCCGGTTCTGCCAGGAGGGAGAGTCTGCCAACCTCATGGCTTAAACACCACCCATCTCCCTCCCTGATGTTTATTTCAGCTCCAAGACTTCCAGGGCCAGTTCAATAATAGCCAAGTCCTTTCTCTGCTTAGGGAAGTGGATCCAGGCAAGAAACCTCAGCCTCCAAGGGCAGGGAGGAAGTACTTGCAAGAACAGGAGAGTTGGCGCCTCCTTAAATTCGGGGCCTGAGGCATCTCCTGTGCCTCACCCGAGTCCCAGCTCTAAGCTGGGGTCTCCTGGGTCTCTGCAGGGAGCTCAGCACAAAGCCCATTCCTGAATGAGGAGAATGATTTTCAGGCCTGGGACCAGCCCACTTCTGTCCCTGACCCCTTGTCCCTCACAGGGCCCATGGTGAGTTAGCAAGAGCTTCTTCAAACAGGAAGGTCTGGCCTCCTGGTTGGTGGTGGGGACACAGAGACCATAATCACCCTGTGAGCCCAGGAGAAGGCTCAGGCAAGTGTGAGGCAAGCTTTGAGGTGGCTGGACATCTGGGTCTACCTTTTAGCTGGGCTGCTAACTCTTCATGTGACCTCAGGCAAGGTGAGGTCACCTCTATCCCACATGACCCCTCTGGCCACCCCGCTGTTTATCAATCATGCTAACTGTTGATAAAAGTGAACTGGCCTCTTAAGATGATTAACCATAGAGCTGGGAGGACTATGGGCAGAGCTAGGCCCCTTGTTAACTCTCCAGTCCTGACTTCCTGTTAAAACTTCGCGGTAACTTCCGGGGGAGGGACCCATTTACATAGAGGCCATGTGGGGAAGGAGGCTCTCTCTCTTTTTCTGCATGTGTGCAGCCAGTGGGCGCCCCGGCCGAGGTGTGCGTTCTCACACTGCTGTGGTGGTTTTGTGTCTTTCTTTTTCCGAATAAGCCCTTATTTTTTGGTGAATTATCCGGAGAGTTGTTTTGGCCAGTTGACACTGCTGGTCATCTCCATTCATTCTTGACCAAGGTGGCCTCACTGTGCTTCCTCCTCACTCTCCTCCTCCCTGCCTCATCCTCTCATTTCTTCATTCGACAAATATTTATCAGCACCTCCCATGCAACAGACACAGCCCTGCCCTGAGGGAGCTGGTACTTTGGTGGCCATGCCTCCCCACCCCCTTGAAATAGTCTCTCTCCTACCCCAACACCCATTTCTAACTGTTCAAACTGTGCGTCTTTTAATACCCACTTTAAAATATAAGTTCTTTCCCCAAACTTTCCCAAATCTCTCCCTGCCTGAAGGTGCTTCCCTTTGTGACACCCACAGACTTGAGCTGTGCCCTCTTGGCATGTCTCATACAACAGAAATTTTGGTGTTTTCAACAGTGAAATTTTCTTTTTCTACAGCGATCTTATGTGAAGTTCGAATAGATAAACAGGACAGCAGTACTTATAG